TGGGAAATTATATAATTTGTTAAGTAACACTTAAATAACTTGAATGGAAAATGTTGACTTAATCAGATATTACCTAATTGACAATTTATAACATTCAATCCATTGGGCAACCTATAAATTTCTCTTGATTTTTTAGTCATAACTGACACTGATAAAGTTCCTGATGAAGGAGATGACTCTTAGTAAGGAAATTCAAAGCACACTTATCAAGTTTAGTTTGTTTTACATCTAGAAATTAAATGAAATCACAGAGAAATACAAAGATAATACAATGGCAAACAGAAACACAGACCGAGCACCTAGGATTTGGAGGAAGATCTTTTTTTTTTTACATCGAAGGGCACTGATTGGGATCAATTCCAAAACATCACACCTGATCTCTGGCAGTCTAGGATTTATAAGGAATAAGCAAGCAGGAAGTAGAGAGGCAGAATGGCTTGTCAATCAGGCACTGGCTCTTAAAATATGCATCATAGTGACCGGCTACGCATCACAATGACCAGCTGTTTCTAAGAGACAAAAGTAACAGGGACCATAACTGGAACTATTACTGGGCAACTAAGAAACTGGAGTATATTGGCTGGGGCGGGGGGGAGGTACGGTGCGGGACGCGGGGGTGGGGTTGGGGGTGGGGTGGGGTGTATCTTCTGTTATAATAGCAGAGAAGTTAGCGAGCGACAATATTCCAGTCTCTACACTCAGGACATTTGGTGCTCAGGAAAAACTTGCTCCAGAATGAAGTAGTAAAGTTAATCTTCGCAGTTTTTAGTGTTTCTTTACTTTGTTGTCTCTGCCCAGTTTTTGTCTTCTCCGACAATTCCAAAACCCTGAGACAATCTGAAGATACTGCCTGAATTTATAATTCAGATTTAGAAATTCAGGACAATTACATAGAATTCTCAGGAGTAGAAAAGGTGGTTTTACAACTTGCCTGATCATGAGTACCACTTACCATAGGATTCGGCCAGCTCTGATAGGGTTTCTAAACACTGTATGGGATGTGTTTGATTGCTAGGTTTCAGTGGGAAAAATTTAACTGTAAGTAGGGCTTTTAACAATACACAGAGGAGTGGGTTACTATCTGAAGTACAAACAAACGCCAGGAGCTGCTGTGGAAGGGCTTTATATTTGGCCCAGTTTCAAGATTTCAGAACACCTTCCATAATGGAATGACCCTACCAAATGAGGTAGCCTTGCTAAATCATTTGAATTCCAGCCAGGGCAGGATTTGGTTAGCTACCTGGCCACATCTTTCTGCCAGACTTTCAGATTCCGGGGAAACAAGACCCTGCTTCTCACTAGCCTGTGAAGATTCTCCAGAAGGTGTCCAAGTACAAACCAAAAAGAGTACCCTCATTGACAGTCCAAAGTGATTGGCACCTCCATCTTACATTTCCAGTGAAAAATAAATCATGAAAAATAAATTCCTGTTGCGTAAGCCACTAATTTATAGTATTTCATTATGGCAGTCTGATTAATGTATTTCAGTGGAATATTGTGTACCTTTTAAATGAAAAATTCTAGTGATCTATCCAAAGACTGTTTGTGTTCATATACTATCACTGTGCCTGATTCGGTTATCTTTGATGTCATAAGTGATTCAGACTTCAAGTCGACATTCTCCCTTTTAGCGAACTGATTAATAAATTATAAACTTGGGTTAGTGACTGGGGTGTCAGGGAACAAGATAAAAACTATGTGGGAAAGAAAGTCTACTGTCAGAAATTGAGTTTGTAAAGTCAGTGGATCAATAACACAGACTGGAGTGATGAAGAACAAGATGATGTCTACAGTCTTTCAGTCAAACAAGTAGGAAGATAAACAACTACATAACCCTTTCATCTTATATCTCTGTTCAGTGGGAAAAGGCGTGATGACATTGTCAGTACATACACAAATTTGGGGGTGAGTAAGTATACATGTGCTGCGGTAGCAGGAGTACAGACGTGAAGCCATAACATACAAACATGGCTTTAAGTCCAAGAGTAGAAAATTATAATCCAGTAACTACCACAAACTCAGCTGATCATGAAATTAAACACTAAAAGTAAAAACAGCTGAAGTTAAATATGTCCAACTAACTGCAACAACACGGATGATGTGCTAGAAACAAAACATCCTTCTTTCAAATGAGGAACTGTAATTATGTACAACTTGACTGTGAGCGTGCAGTGGATAGTTACGTAGAGACAAAAATTTGAGTCCAAAAATCTGAGTCTGAAATTGTATCTGTGAACTATTTTTCATTTATGCATAGGCAATTTTAGTACAATTTTTAGTACAGTCTTTTCTAAGTATCGATGAAGGATGGTTCCAGGACTGCCTGTGAATATCAAAACTCATGGATACTCAAGTCTCTATGAAAAGGGATTTATATACTTGCATATGACTTATGCACACCCTCCTGTATATTTTAAATCTTCTCTAAATTACTGTATTTGTAACATCTAATGTCCTCCAACTGTTATATAAGCACTTGTTACACTGTACTGGGGAATAAAGCTGAGAGACAGGTTTAGTACAGAGGCAATTACATTTTTTTTTTTTTTTGATGTGTGATTTGTTGACTTGGCAGATGTGGAATCTGCTGATACCAAAAGCTGTCTGTGACTGTTAAATGTATTCAATAGATAACTGCTAGTAAACAGTTTATGAAAAAAATGTTATGGACAATGACTCATGTGTTAGGAAGAATCATGGAAAGGAATTGCATGTGGAGGACTTTGAGATTCACTGTGTAAAGTTTACTGTGTAACCGAGAAACTACCAGCTACCGTGTGAAGCTGTCATGCTGGATGTGCTTGGAAGAGCTGGGTGGGCCTTCTGGCTGAGCCTGAAACTCATGAGCCATGGGGTTTCAAAGCCCGTCACTGCTCTCTATGGAATTACTCACTGTTCTTGGCTTATGACAGTTGCCTGGGAATTATCCAACAGTGCCCTGCTGCTCTATGCTGATGCTGTCATCTCATTCTTAGGAAGAGAGCAGTGAAACTTCTAATTTCATCATTCTGGGTCAGAACTTCCTCACATATAGCCATTTCATAAATAGTGTGCTGCATGCTGATTTAGCAAATGCTGCTAAGAAACAGCTTAATTGCAGCTACGTATGATACATACATAAGCAAAAGTAGTTTTTACATCAATTTCTAGGTATAAAAATTTAAGTAGTAAGCATGCTAGCCAACTCTAAAAGCATAGACTCATAAAAGAAATAGCTAAAATCTGGGAGTTCTCAGTTCTTTAGAGATGGTAGGTAGGACACCTATGCAGTACGTTAAGAATGTGAATTTTTGAAAACTTATTTCTAACTTCTGCATTTACTTGAAACAATACAATCCTTAACAAATTAAGCAATAATAAATGTGGGCAACTGTGTTATTAGCTAAATCAAGGTGTATTATCCTTCTGTCCCTTGCTATAGGCTACTTAAAACAGAAAATATATTTTACAAATTTGTTTATTCATTTTGCTAGGAATTGAACTCGAGGAAGAAACATACTGAGCCATGGCCCCAGACCATTTTTTATGTTGTATTTTGAAACAGGGACTAAACTGTTAAATTGCCCAGACTGGGTTCAAACATGGATCCCCTGACTCAAACTTCCAGAGCTCTGAAATTACAGGGTTACACCAACACACCCATTTTATATTTCTAAATTTTGAAAATTTTATCAATACCTGTTTTCAATACATAATGATTAAATTCACCTTGGAGCATTGGTACACACACATAACCCATCTTAATTTTTTTGATTTCCTTTTTCATTTTGCTCTTATTGTGAAAGACTTGTGAAAGCATTTGTGAAAGCTCTTTGCTTATACGTAGGGATATTTAGCACAAGTTTTTGAAGGGCATAAGATCCTAAAGCACAGAATGATAATAGAACACTTTAAAGTATATCCTAAAATCTATATATGCCATATTTTCCATTATGTAGCTAAAAGGAATAGGACATGTAAACACATACCAGAAATCCTAATTTTCACATCTAAAAGAACAGTGAAAGTTCTAAACAAAATAAATTGCATTGCTAGACATTCACAATCTCCTAACAAAAGTTCATAATTTCTTGCAAAAGAAATGCACCAGCGACTTCAGGATGTGGGTAAGACATTCATGTTCCTGTGGTAACAATTTCCCAAACAAGAGAAGTAGTTAGAAAGACAAATCTTTGATAAGATATGGCTTACTAGGTCTCTTGATTTATGAGAACAACAAAAAGTAGTTTAAGCTACTTGAGAAACAACTTAGAGACAAATATCCCATGAACCAGCAAAATCTGTCAAATAAATAAGTTTAATCTGTGGATTAAAAATGACTTTTTAATTTACAGTGGGAAGAAATAACATAGTTTCACCTTTTTAAAACATTCTACAATGTGGCAACCTTAGGTTGATATACTAGATGTGCTTACCCACCATACAAAATAAAAATCTGTCTATATTCCATAAGGTTCTAGTCAACCCTAAATAAGTAACAGTTTTCTTAGTGATAAATGTAGAACCAGTCAATTAAAATATGGTGTATATTTAGTTTCTCACAATTCATGCTCTTTCCTTAAATTTTTACCACAAACTTTTAACATTCACATATTACTGCTATTTTATGCTTTTGTTTATTCATTGTTATTGATTCAAATTATTCGTTCTAGCATCCAACATTCATTGAGTATTTACTAATTACCAGCAAAATAATTGGATTGAATCATTTTTCCTTTTACAAAATGCTGAAATCTAGCTTCCCAAAAAATATATAATGCATATTTTTTTCCAGATTGTTCTTTAGTCTTATTAGGACAATAAGTAATAAATTATGAAGAAATTAGATTTCAGTTTAGACATCAAAAATAATAGGTTATACTTACAAGTTAACCCAAGGAAAAATGTAAACAAAAAACTATTTTCATTAAGAGATATGAAATAAAAGAATACCATAGAATTACTGTTAAGGAAAAAGAATTTATTATATTATTTTCTAATTATTTCATATTAGTATGTACCTTGTATTCTTCATAATCATTGCTATCTAGCAAGTTTCTTTTATCCATTTCTGTAAGTTGTTCTTCAGAGGGCTTATCAGGGATATACTTAATAGAGACGTTTTCATATATGGGCTTTCCATGAAAAAACAGTTCCTTCCAATCATGCATCATCTTAAATGGAATCAGGCTATTGTAAAAAGCATAAAAAAATATAGATAAACCAATGCTTACACTTTAAATGTATACTTTAAATCTTAGTCTTTTATGGTATTTAAGTAATCAACACTTTCATTAGAAATAACTAGAATATTTTTAAAGATTATTACAAGAGCAATAATACCAAAATACATTTTCTGTTTCTGTAACAAATTACATAAAACATTTAAATCAACAGTTATCTTAAGGGTCCTTGAAAAGCATTCAGTCTGCGCAGTTTGCATAAAATAACACTGATTGTGGAACACCAAAATTATGTCCTATGATTATAAAGTCATTTGATATCAGAACTGGAAATTAAAGAACCTTAATTTTTTAATTGTACTCATTATGTTAGACACATGTCTGCTGAATAGGTAAGTCTAGGGACCTTTGGCTTTAAGTCACATGCATTTTTTCAGATCTCCTAATTTCTAGACTTAACAGCTATTAGGGATGCAATAACAAGGGTAATCTCTACCCTAATAGAGTCGATCTTGGGGGAAAAAAGTCAAAAGCAATTGCATAATCGAATGAGAGTTCTGAATGAAAATTACACAATAGGAAAACATAACAGTATTATTGTTATGGCTGCGATCCGTTGCCCTAAAGTCTCTTGTGTTTGGAAAATGACTGAAACACAGGGCACGATACTCTTCCACGGATGCATCCACTGAGTGAAGTAGCCTACTATGTGGGTAAGAGACAGAGCCTGGGTGGAGGCGGTCACAGCAGATGTGACCTGCAGAAGTGCATCTCACTCCCCGCTCTTCCCTTTTCTCTCTACTTGCTGGCTGCCCTGGGTTGAGTACCTTTTCCTCTGCTGTGTCCCTCTGCCAACTAGTTTTTGCCTTGGAGCCTGCCAACCATGGACTGAGACCATCAGTCAAAACAAACGGCTCCGTTACAATGTGAGTTTTGGGTATCTTGTTGTGATATGGAAAACGGCAAAACAACGACTCAAATTAACCTGTTTCAGGAAATCTTTTTTGAAGAAATGATAGCTAAACTGAGGTCTAAAGAATGGCTAAGAGGCAACCAGAACTGATAAGACTAAAAAGCAGTCCTGGAGGAAAATTGATCTAAAATTTGAAATTGATATTTTATTCTAATAGAATTTTGAGGAAAACATGCTAAGAAAGAAGCCCAAGCACAAAAGGATAAATACTGTATGATACTGCCTACACGAGGTACTGAGAACTGACAAATTCACAGATATAAAATAGATTTGGAAATATTAGGACCTGGAAAAAGAGATAGAGAGCTAGTGTTGAGTGGTTACACACCCAGCAATTTTCCTGCTTACGAAACTGTGCAGTGAGATTGCTTTCAAATTCGGGATCTCTTTTCTGTCTTCCTCACTTTTAAGGCTGTAAAAAGTCTAAAAGTTGCCCATGTTCCTCCTCACAGTTTTTTTTTTAACATTTCCTTTCTATAACAATTCTACTATGACATTTGTAGAAGTTATTAGGCTTTTGTGACTTCAATAGATTTTGGGGAAAAAAATCTGACCTTTAAAATCCTCACATTTAAGAATATGAGGATACAAACCTAAAATGGCAAAGGCAAGAAGGCTTTTAAAATTGCTTCTTTAGTCTTAAGAACATTGGCTTCCTTGTTATTGCCCAGGATTCTCAAGATTCTCACTTCGCTGGTCCCCTCTAACCCACTGCGGTTCCTTGGTAAGAACAGGAGTGGCCTTTGAAAATGGGAAGGTGGCCAAGAGCTGGCGGAGTGGAAGAAGGGGAGGGAGAGGGGAAGTGAAATTAATCGAGACGTGTGGTGGACATGTTCTAACTTCCCACGATGAATGTAATCATTATGTACTGCAAACACGTAGTGCTAAAAATAAAGCACTACCTGTTCTCTAGCCTCTGTGCTGAGTGTCTTCCTTTGGTGTTAACTAAAAGTTCTTAAGGTTCATGTGTACCTTTGAACTAGCCGTTCCACTCTGTAATGATCTGAGTTCCATCAACTTACTTTGTATATCAACCTAGTGCAGTGAAGTAATTATTAAGTGAAACTAAAGCAAGCAAGGACAGAATGCTATCACATCAATGACACAATGATTAAATATTTTCCCTTTTAGACTGCACAGTTTTTAGTTTAATTAACTGGGTCTTAAAATCCGAGGTATGCCATTTGCTTTTCCTCAGTAGTCTTTGAATAATGTACCTACTTATATCTATATATGCTTTATATTTAATGAGTGTCCTGTAATTGTTAATATTTTTAAAAATCATACTGCATATCCAAAGATAATTTAGAAGTGTGTTCTTGAATTCCTGATGTTACAACTTTTTTCTTTCATCTTCATGTTGCTGATTTCCATTTTCATTTCATTCTGGTCAGGGGTTATTGAGGTGTGATCTATGGGCTAGGATTTGTATAGAACTTCTATGGGCATTTAAAAAGAGTGTGTATGCTCAGATGCTGTTTGCTAAAGTGTATTATGTATTTTCTTTCTGTATTTTTAAAACATCAGAATAGCAATACATCTTTTGATTAAATTTCTAAACTTCTCAAAAGGTAAAGGAAATACTATTGTATTTATTAGTATTTTTGTTAACTGTATTCTTTCTTCTTTTCTGATATTCCAAGCTTCCTCAAAAAAAAAAAAAAAACCTATCTGCTTACGTAACTTCCTGCAGCTACTTATATAAGAATAGGTATCAAATAATAAATTTTCTTAGTTACCATCATCTGACAATATCAGATATTTCACCTTCATTCACCTTCACGGATAAGAGTCCTTTTATTTTACAGCACTTGAAAAATATGATACTTGTGGTCTCCATGGTTTCTTGTAAGAAATCTTCTGTGGTTTGAATTATTTTGTCCCTATAAGTAAGCTGTTGTGTTTCTCTGGGTACATTTGAAATGTTTTCTTCTTTAGTTTTCAGATATTTAATTGTGATTTGTCTTTACATGTATTTACTTGTGTTTATATTGAAACGTTTGCTCAGATTTTTGAATGTGAAGTTTATACATTTACATGACATACCACACCTTTGGGAAAGTTAAAGGCATTATTTCTTTAAGCAGTCTTTCAGCCTCAACTTCCTTTTCTTCTATTTGCAGGACTGCAATGACATGTGCTATATTTTATCTTGAATATTCCCACAAGGGGCAAGTGGTAAACGCTTGGTCACCACCAGTCTGTGGCAGTACTGATGCAGAGGCTTAGAAGATGAGGACAGACCCCGGGGGCATGCCCTTATGCCTTCTCTTTCACTTTCTGGTCACTGTGAGGTGGAGGCATCTCTGACGTCACATGCTCCCATCATGATGTTCTGCCATGCTCTGGTCCCAAAGCGACAGTCTCAAGTGCCTATGAATTGAAACTATTGAAGCTGTGAACTACAATAAACTTTTCATGAGTTAATTTCTCTCACATACTTGTTATAGTGATGGAAAGCTGACTACAGCAACATAGATGGCCAATGTCTGGAGTTCTGTTAATATTTTTGTCTCCTTTTTCTCTGTTCAGATTACACAATTTCGATTGCTTTATTTTTTAGTCTAGTCATCCTGTCCTCTGTTCCCCTCATTCTGCCATTGAGCCTAACCAATGAGCTCTTTAGGTTATTGTCTCAAATAATCTTTTGATTCTTATTTATACTTTATTTCTCTGATATGACTAAATTTATGGCAAACGTATTTTTTTCATGTTTCAAGGATGCTCTTAATTGCTTATTGAGACATTTTGCCGTGGCCATTTTAAAATGTGTATCAGGTAATTCTAAGTGTTGTGATGTGTCAGTTTCCTGAGGGGTTCTATAACAATGTACCACAAACTGGGTGGCATAAAAGCACAGAAACTGATGAAAACTAGCAGCTCAAACTAAGGATATTGGTAAGGCCATGTGCCTTCGGCAAATTAAAGAAATCCCTCCTAGATTTTGGTGGTTTATCAGAAATCTTTGGTAGTACTTGACTAAACACTGCATAAATATTTCCTTTCATTGTAATATGGTGCCCTCCCTGTGCCTTTCCTTTAAGAACACAAGTGATACTAAATTAGCTAGTGGAACCTCATCTTTACTAATCATATTTGCAATCATCCTATTTCCAACAATGTCATATGCTACCTAATGTCATGCTGTGGCTCATGCCTATAATCCCTGAACTTGGAAGACTGAAATTGGAGGATTGCTGTGGGTTTGAGGCCAGCCTGGGTTACATAATGAATTCAAAGCCAGATTGAACACTGAACTACATGGTGGGAACCTGTCTCAACAAACCAACAAACAATAACAATAAAAAAACCCAAAATATATTCAACCAATAACAATATTCATATATTGCCATTTTATATTCAGTTTGAGCTCTTTCTGGTTCTTTCATACTGATTAATTTTTAAATAGACTTTAAGACACTGGATCTTATATAAACCTTCATTTTCAGTAGTTTGTTTTATTTTTTCTTTATTAGTGTGTGCTTATAGTACATAATAAATACATCCATAGCGAGTAGTTGGTATATGTATATGACATGTCTTAATTCTTTTTTATATTCCCTTCCCCTTCCCCAATATCCCTGGTCCTGTTACTATTTGTCAAAGAACTATCTACCTATTTTGTATTGTCTGTTTTTCATCTTCTCTTTGATTTGTTTACACTTTGAATTTCTCACATAAGAGAAATCATATGATATTAAGCTTGTATGTCTGGTTTATTTCACTTAACCTTATGGATTTTTCCACTAAGGACCCATTTTTCCTTCTTTATTATCAAAGTATCACTCCATTGTGTATCAATCTCATATATGCTTTAATATGTTGATAGACATTTAGGACACTTGCAAGATTCAGCTATTATAAATTGTGCTGCTCTAAACAAGGGTATATATATATATATATCACTTCAATATGAAAGTTTTTTAAATGTTTCAAGACTATCTTATTTTTTTAAACAATAACACATAATTTAATAAATTTTTAATTAACATGTACTTGGTTTACAAAGCAAGTATACAAAGAAAGTTACATCATCAGACCAGAAGAGCCACAACACCTGAAATTTCAATGTGGGGGAGTTTCATTATAGGGTTTAAAGGGTTATCACTGGGAAGGGTCCAGATGGAGCATCCTCCCCATGAATGAGACTCTTAAAGTCTCCTTCTCAGTGAGGTCCCTTAAATAGCAGTAGAAATGAAAATGACAATGGCCCAACTGTGTGTCTGAGCAAAGGAAGAGAGTTTTTAGCCCCCAAGAACTGGACATATGCCTCAGAGAACCAACATCTGTGGTTTCCAGGTGGGTAAGAAAAACTATTCTTGGGAGCTGGCCAGGCTCACACGGAGTTTCTGAGCCTATCAAGATATCTGCTGAGCACTCTAACATCTATTGTTAGAATAAGCCTATGGTGCTGTGTTAAAAACAAGGAAGATCTTAATTTTATATTTAATTTTAACCCTTCATATGGGTAGCTGCCAGAGTAACACGATGGTCCAATGTCTTATAAAAGATAATCACTAATACAATGGCATTTTCTTTTCTCACAAATGCACAAGCCATTTGCCAGAATTCTCTGATGCTTTGAAAAATTCATTTAATTATATATTTGGCAATAAAACTAATATGATAGTACCTGAAAACTGAAAATATACATGTGTCTAAGTGAACAATAATCAAATTGGTGGGTGAAAATCTACAGGCAACGTATCCCTAATTTCTGGCCTGGTGTGCAGTTTCTGAGGTCATGGAAAAACCATACAGTTTATGTAACATAGTAACTGAATATCTACAGGAAGAAAACTCTCCAAGAAGGAAGCATAGAAATATCATAGGCTGATCTGTAGGAATGTAAGGAATTTTATACATAATTTTTCTGACAATAGTAAACACTTGATATTATCAGGAGATGTATTGCAGTAGCTACTTAGCATTCAATTTAATCCAAGGCCTTGAGCTATTTTTCTAAAGAACATCACTTAATTCTATGCAGTGGAATCTACGTAGGAGGAAGGGCAAGAATTACTGAAAAGGGTAAAACAATGTCTCAGGTGCTAGTACTGAAAATAAGGCATTAAGAACACAAAAAATTAAAAAAAAGAATTTTCTATTCTTACTTTCAAAAGTACTGTATAAAAGAGATCAGAAAAATTTATAAGCTATCCTCTTATGCACATATGAATGGGAAGAACAAGGCAGTAATATAGAAAATATTGATGTATCTATCTGTAGATCCCTACTCATTATCCATGTAAACCCAAAACACAAGCCCAAACCTCCAGCCCCCCCAGGAAAACTCCAAAGCACAAGACAGAAGAAATCAAAAGCCACACACTGGAACTTTCTAAAATTATTAGAAGCAAAACTGAAAAAAACAAATGGAGTTTGCTATAGAAAAGATAATAATCAGGGAAAAAAAGAAATGATAAAAAAAATTAAAGACATGCCCAATGAATCTAGAGTAGACACAGATTTTAAAAAAAAGAAATTGAGGAGCTTAGAAAAACAATGGAAACTACGAATACCCAACATAGGAAAAAAACGGAAGCTATAAAACAGATTTAAAAATCTGTTTTAAGGAGATTAAAAATTCTAACAAAAGTATATGCAACAGACTGAATGAAGGCAAAGATAGAATATCATCCCTCGAAGACAGGATTGCAGTTATTGACCACAAAAAAAGGTTCTTAAAAATAGCTAGGACCATGAAAAATCAGTCAAACCCAGGAAGCATAGTACTGTGTCATGCCTCAGAACTAGATTCACTAATCAGTCTGACCTCTCTCCAGTTTTCAGTCTTCTTATGTGAGTTTCACATATGTTTAGAAGTTAAGCTGTACTTAATGGAAGGAATAGAAAGTCTGTCTATGCTGTTGTGTCAGAGAAAAATGATATTTTTATGACTTAAACTATGGACCTTTATTTCCTTAGAAAAATCGGATTTATCTTATAATTTTCCCTCTTTGAATTCTTATTTTATATTTATATTTTACATTTAGCTCTCCATTTAGCATATTTTAGCCATTACGGTTTGTGTCACTTAAGACACCACAAGAAACAGTTGGTCTGTGAGTATAGATATTACAAATGTTTTCTTTGAAAACATGATTTTTTTCCTTGCAGAAGATGTGCTGCCTAGCTCCACTATACCATGTCCATTACCTTTAGTGAGATCACACACAAAAAACTACTTTTCTAAACTGATTGCCAAGAATTTTGTATTGTATACATAACTAAAATGGAAGTAAAAATCATGTTTCAGATTTTCCTTTGATTACTGGGAAGTTCAGTTGCAATAACTGGCAAATTACTGCTGCCAAATAATTGCAGTTCAGTTTATTTCTTATTCCTACTTTAATTTAGAGTTTCCTTCATTATGTGGTGGTGTTCTTCACTTTTAGATTTTCAATTTTTCTTTAAAACTGTCGATACCTTCTGAAAACAAGACGTGATGGAAGTAAGCAATTTCATAAAGTGAAATAATCTTTATAATTCTATTGTTTTAGTAAATGTTTCTAGTAAATTATCACAGTAGTTCTTGTAAAGTGCAGATAATTTGGACACTTTTTAAATTATGAAAGACATATATAGATGTCAAATAAAACTAATGAATGAAACGACTCAATAATCAAAATTTCTGAATTCTATTTCTTAGTTTTCTGAGACATTTTTACCTTTAGTCATCAACCTAGTATCTACTTTATAATCTCACCATTTTTGTTATCTCTGATGTCTCTACGAATTAGTTATAGAAAATAGTACTTACTTATTTGTCAGAATTCTATAGTCTGCCACTTTAAAGGACAAATCAAGTATTTGATCCAAAATTTCTTCACACATTTTATAATGCTTTCTATAACGAGCCTGAGCTCTTTCCACAGCAATCTGTTCATAAACTTTTTTCTCTCTGAGGATTTGTTCTTCAAAATCAATCTTGGCTTGTTTTGCCAAAGCCTAACAAGGAAAAATTATATTTTTAAGTTACTATCATGGTAAAATAATTCAACTGAAAATAATCACAGCATTTTAATAGCCAATATACAATCCTTTTAAGTAGATTGAAGACATCTTTTACATCAGGAAAAAATTAAACACAGGCCCTGTGTACCTGTCTCCATCATCAGAAAGCTTGCTTCCTGTAGGCAGCCAGCATGGCAGGGAGACGCAGCCAGATATGCCCCTGTACACCTGCCACCACCCCTGGAAGACCTGCTTTATGCAGGTAGCCAGAAGAGACAGGAAAAAGCAGCCAGGTCTACCCCATGTGCCTACAGACCACCATTGGTTCCTTTGGGTAGCCAGTACCCACCAGGAGAATCAGATTAACATATCCCTGTGTCCCTGCAGCCACTGGGGGAGTCCTGGTGTAGACATGTAGGCTGAGATAAAAAGTAGCCCTGCCACCTTGCACCCCTGGCCATCAGAGAAGCCTAATTGTAGCTGTGCGGGTCTGGAAAAGCCTGTCCCATGCACTGCTACCTCCCCCTGGGAACCAGGGTTCACAGAATGCAGGTGCCTGGCCCATTGGCCTACACTGTAGAGGGGCAGCTAATGTGGGAAGTGGTTGGGACCCCCCAACTGGCTGCTTGTGAGGAACCTAGGAAAATGTCAAGATGAAGGAGCAAAAGGCAATCTCAGACCTCTAGTCCACATGAACAAGTCTGGGAGATATAGTCATGAAAGAAAAAGTCATACACCTGATATCTTTGAAAAGGATAGCAACTGAAGTGAAGAAACAGCTTCATGAGACTGTAAAACGTAGTCAGATCAGAAATAATGTCTCAAGTAAAAGAAGAAATTGCAAGCATAATAAAAGAATTGCTGAGCATATCTAAAGATAAAAAGAAGAGAATATAAAAATGATGGAAACCTAGAATGGACAACATAGGAAGGAAGTATATTGCATGAAACACTTAAAGAGATATCTCAGAAATTAAAAAAATTGTTTGAAAACTGGCAAAACTTCTTGAAAGAGACTGAAAATGACTTTCAGACCTTATAAACAGATTTGAAGCTAGTGATCATGAAAGGAAAGATCTCTTAACAATAACAAGGAACCAGGAAATAATAATACAATGGCTGCAAAATGACACAAAGAAAAATAATTAGTAATGATAGATATTAGCAAAGAAGCAGTGGTCAACACAAATGAAGTAAAAAGACTATTTATAGAAGTAGTAGCAGAAAACATCCCAAACATGTGAAACTGATCTGGCATACAGATAAGCAAGGCACATAGACTTCCAACTGGCCACAATCAAAGTAAATCTATACTCAGACATATAATAATCAAGATCCCAGAAATTCAGCACAAAAATAGAATATTAAAAGCTGTTAGAGTAAAGAAACAGATCACTTGTAAAGGAAAATCAGAATCACAGCACACTTGACAACAGAAACCATTAAGTCAAGAAGAATTTGAAGTAAAGTGTTTCAAATCCTAAAAGAAAGTAACTTCCAACACAGACTGATGTACCCTGCAAAACTATCTTTTGAAATGGAAAAATAAGATACTTCCATGGAAAAAAAAACTGAAGGAATTCATGAGCACCAAACCACCTCTACAGAGAGTGCTGAAGGATATTCTAGAGAGAGAAAGATGACCACAGTTCCAGGAACAGCAGCAGAGGAGGATCGCCAAACAGGACAGGCAACTGAATAAAGGAAAAAAGTGGTGGGCCAACAGTAGGAGGATAGCATGGTAGAGATGAACCAATGCATGCTAGTTGTAACCATTAATGTAAATGACCTTAATTCACAATAGGAGGAAAAACAGAGAGAGTGGATCAAGAAACAAGATTCATCAATATACTGTATACAAGAAACATTTAACTAGAAAGGAAATTCATAGGCTGAAAAATCAGAGAGAAAACAATTGTTCCACATGACAACAGACCAGAAAAAACAAGAGTAATTTTCCCATCAACCTCAGAATTAATAAGAAAGATATTGTATTTTCATATAATGGAAAGCTGTCCAACTATAAAGTAAGATAATTTCAAGGTTCTTGTAGGTAAATGGACACAACTGGAGATCACGCTCATGGGTGAAATGGTTTAGACTCATACTAGTGAACACCAAGTTATCTCCTTAGCATAGAAAACTGAAGGAGTCAGTGGGATCAAAAAAGCACAATAGATATTTTGAAAGTGTTAGGGGAGGAAATGCCTAAAAAGGGAAAGTGGTAATCACTGTTAATTTTCTATTGTTTCAAATTATTATATCCTTTTCATAATTTTGTTAGGTTTGGTTTTATTCTGTCTTGTTTTGTTAGATTTTACCGTGTCTGATGGGATGGGTAGCTATTTCGAAGATAACAATTTGTTATGGTAACCATTGTTGACTTTCTATTACCTTGCCTTGAAGTCCTGTCATGCTTTCATTCTTTTGTTTTGAGTGGTTTTAGTCTATTTTGTATTGTTTGATTTTATTATATGTGAAGGTGTGGACAGCTCTTTTGAAAAAAATGAGACATTATGGTAGTCATTGTTGATTTCCTATTGTTTTGAAGTTCTGTAATGCTTTCATATTTTGGTTTTGATTAATTTTGTTCTGTTTTGTTTCGTTTGATTTTATTGTGCGTGATGGTATAGATGGCTATTTTGAAGAAAATGAAAGACATTATGGTAGCCATTGTTGATTTATTGTTGTCTTGTTTTGAAGTTTTGTATTACTTGCATTGTTCTGTTCTGATTTGCTTTATTCTGTTTTGTTTCATTTTCTGTTTAAATAAAAACTAAACAAACAGACCAAGCCCACCAAAATTAACCATAAGTGAGCACTTAGTACTAACTATGACATGAAGGGAGAGACAATATTGGAAATGTTTCACCTTAACTTATCAAGAAAAGAGAATAATGAACAAAGGTGATATGACCAGGGAAAGCCAATAGGGCTAACAATAAATTGGATCATAAGGCTTTTCACAAAGAAGTCCTGAATGCCTAGGTTACCAGTGGTCAGGAATAACAGAGAAATAGGCGAGTCCGTGCCAGACCTCCAGCATAGCTGCCCTCCCCGCACTGTCTCAGAATCCTAAACATGGGTACATCTGCTGTGGCTGCCATCCTTTGTTGCTTAGTGGGGAAGTTCTGATATTGATTTATATCTAGAAAACAGTTTGAAAATCTTCTACTATTACAGACTTAATAAGCTGATAAGACAAACTCATTGGTGGAAATATCTATTCTGAAGAAAGTGATGAAATATTCAAAGAGTTTGTCATCACCTTGTCCTTGGTTTGTACTATTACTTTGTTTCGGGAACCCTTTTCTTACACAAAGTACAAATGTCAAACTTGAGTTGGCCAAGCTGTGAGCAACAAAATACTCAATTGATGGGATTCAAATGACCAAATGTTGCTTTTGAAACAGTATGACAGATTCTTGGAAAATCTGATGATGAGTTAACCTGTGTCAGGAACAAAACTTGTCTCCTGTAACTTAATCGTGCTAGAGGAAAATGGAAACACTCAAGCTTTAGGAGGGAGCTGTAGTCAAAATCTGGTCCCAGTTTGTGTTCAAAATTTAAATTCAAGCTGGGAGAACCTGGACAAGCCTGTTAGCCTCCTTAAGTCTCCATTTCCTAATAGTGTGGTGTTAATAATTCTTGGCAAGATGGGCTGTAGCTCAGTGGTAGTAGAACACATGCTTGTATACACAAGGCCCTGTGTCCAATCCCTAGCACCTCCACAAGTGACCTAGTTCTAATTTTGGGCTGAGGAGATAGCTCAGCAGCACAGTGCCTGCCTGGCAAGTGTGAAGTCCTGAATTTGATGCCTAGGTACCAAAACACCAAAAAAATAATAATTGTAATATTTTTCATTTTTTGGTATATCCACAAAAACAACCATACTATCTAATCAGATCAAGTTTTTTTAAAAATTATAGTACTACTCATAAATGACTAGGTGTGTTATAGTGGATTGCTATGTAAGGTCCACTATTTGTTTTGTCCTGCTGTTTTATTTTGCATGTTTATTTCATTCTTGTTGGGAAACAAGTGAGTTGGATGGCCTCTGAGAACAATTTAGTACAACTGGTAGACTCGGGACTTAACACCAAATTTGTCATTCTTGCATTGTTTCGTAAGCCCGATGCTTCCAGGGAGAAGAAATTCAATTGAAGCGCAAAGGTTTTGACATGCTATGACATGTTCAAAGGAAAAAGGAATCCAAGAGATTGGAAATCTTAGAGGAAAATGTACAAAATGTCACACACACACACACACACACACACACACACACAAATGGGTCACGAGATTGGTTTACCACAGTAACTATGAAACACGTAAATTATATTGAGGATGTGAGAACAGTTCCCAATCTTGGTTTCTGTTATGACCTGTGTCTCTTTCACTCTTCTTTCTACCAGAGTTTTCTCCCTTTTTTCTTTGTCCATCCCTTCCTTCCTTCCTTTCTCCCTTTCTGTTTTCTTTCCTCCCTTCATTCATTTTTTTCTATCCAGCTAACTAGTCTTCATTCTTATTCTTTTCTACCTAAATAATTTACTCTGTACTAACCCCACCACAATTTCCTGTCTTATTATAGCAAAGTAGGCTGCAGCCCTAAAAAGAGAAAGAGGGAAAGGAAAAAGGAAGTCTGTAGGAGGTAGTAAATCTTAGTTGTTATGAACTTGGACTCTAAAGTCTGATAAGGCAGGCTTTGTTCCTGATACACCACTGATGAGCTGCATGATTTTGAGCCTTCTAAGCTTCACTTTCCCAACACATAAGATGTAGATAAGGATACAGTCCATTTGTAGTTGTTGGAAGAATTATGCATGTATATAATGACCATGATAAAATTCCTGACTTAAAGCAAATATTATTATAACTCTTATTAATAGCAGGTGATACCAAGATTTGAAATCAGGAAGTGTTTCAAAATAGAATATCCCATTGCCTCAAAGGACGAGATTAGCAGATTAAATCTAAAAACAATGAAAACATTTACAAAACTCCCAAGGTCAAATCACAAGTTCCTGCCACCTTTCTCCTTCACTTATTTTTCCGTATCCTCTTTTTCTTTCTTCCTCTCATTAACATGTAATGGGCAATAGGTTCAGCTCTGGGGAAACAGTAATCAGTAAAAGTGATGCTACATCACGGGCTTTTACACCAGTGGGATATGTAAACAGTCAAAAAGACCCATGGATAAATGTACAATAGTACACTATCACAAGTGTCACTTAGAGCAAGACTGTGGCTATGGAGTAGGTAACCAAAGCCCTGATCTAGACAAATGACGTGTACACGGAGATTGGAAAGATGTTTATTTAGTAGACTAAGTTACATGGCAAGAAGGGTAAAGGTGAGTGACTTTTTAGGGATCTGAGAGTAAAGACAGATGTGGCTGGACCAGAGCTGACAAAGGGGAGCAAGTTATGAGCAGGGGTGCGCTAGGGAGCACAGGGGAGCAAAGGGTAGAAATCTTGTATGAAGGCGATGATCAAATTTGAGAATCAAAGAGAATTCTCTGGTTGCACAATGGAAACTGGACAGGAGGAAATAAGAGTAAGGCAGGCAATTTTTATATGTATCCCCATTTCTTCATTTCAAGCAAGTCTATAAAAACCCCTGCTTTAGGGAATTTCTGTGGGACAAAAAGCAGAAACTGTTAAAACTCTTTATGACCAGTAAAACACCAAATTCAAATGTAATATAATCTAGGATTCTCAAAAATAATGGACAGAAGTTTTTAGGTTTTTAGGTAAAACATGAAGAGGATGCTCTATTCCCAGTCAACGCCTGGGAGAAGCAAAGCCCCAGGAAGATAATACGTATTGGTAAAGGCTGGGACAGCCTCCCCAAGATGCCTGAGCCATGGAAGGGCACGTGTGGATTGCAGTAACTGGCAACTCAGGGCTTACACCAGATAAGGCTTAGAATGAATGAAGATGAATGCAGTGCTTCATTCTTCTTCATGTGGGCATGGTGCACCTCTTCAGGCAGACGTGGGTTGCTGGAGGGCAACTGAGGCTGATTTAAAGAATATAAGCAATGTTATGTTTCTGTATACCCCAGGTTAATTTTTGCCACTACATACTTATCAAAAATAAATGAAAGAAAACCTTGTAGCAGCAGTAAGAGTAAAAATCAGGGATGCTGGTACAGTCATGAGGATAAACAGATAAACTGAACAACCATTTAATGCACAAAATGAATATGACTTAGAGATATTTTTCGATTGGGAAGAGTGTGAGTAAATCTGGTTTCAAGTAGATAATGAGGTTTGGACTTGGCTAACTGAATAAAGAGTCAAGCTATTTGTTGAGATACAGAACCTTGAAAGAGACCAGGTTAGTGGAAAGGATCACAAAACTGTTTTTGTACATGATAAACTGAGTAGAAATGTCAGGAAGCAGTTTAACCTATGTCTCCACACCTCAGGCAGCAGAGACCTAAATCCTTGTCATCCTATTGCAATGACTGTATACCCGTTGCTATGGATGATATGGTCTGGGGAAATAGGCTATAGAAGACTATAATAGGCTAAACAAACCCTAAATATCACCTCTGTAACTGACTCACAGAATCCACAAATAAATATTTCAGGATAAAGCACACATCTAGAAGCCAGATCTGGATTCTATGAATGATCTTAAACTGTAATGCACCAGAAAACTCTACAAAAATGATTCATTCTAGGCATGAGGAAGGAGGAGTAAACTGCAGACCTAGAAAATCATGTGTTATCAAAAGGTAAAGAATTTTGTATTGAAAACTAATGATTTCTTGTTGAAAAGAATCACTTTTCAAGCCTTCAGAACCTGAGAATATTCATTTGAATAATCAATATCAATACCTACACTAGTAATGTGTCATTTTGAAAAAAAAAAGAATCTAATGATTCAAGGAAGTGGAAATTTGATTATCACCAGGCTTTTTGACAGAAATACTTTATTCCTGATAAAAGTGGGGCTATGTATTTAAAGTACTCAAACAGAGAAATGCTAAACCAAGCATTTTATAGATAGCAAAACTAACAATCAACTATAGAAGTTACATGCTATTATCTAATACAATAATTCAGATATCATTCCTATGAGCTTTGTCTGAGGAATCAAGTGGAAACAGGGTTCAAATAGTCAAAGTGACCAAAGACACTGTAAGGATTGGTGGTGAGCATCAAACAGTTGGTTACTCGTAGCTTCCGAACTAAGGGAAGACAGTACAGTATATAGCGACAGCAGCTTCCCTGTCAATGGAGACTACAGAGAAAAAAAGATGGGTGGATAATAGGCAGATCATATAAAAATGAGTTCTTTTAGGGAAATGACAACAAAACACAAAACAAACTACGACTGGGTAGAAAAAGTCTCAAGTAAACTTAGTTGAAGAGCAATATTGTTTACCGCTTCTCGATCAAGGGCATCCTGGAAATCTTTAAGTCGTCTTTCCTCATATTGTTTTTCTCTGAAAATTCTGTTTTGCCATAAAACTTCCTTTTCATGCCGAACGTGCATGAGCTGCACCGCAATCCTGCGCTCCTGCTGGGACTGCCGCATGAGCCTGTGTATCAGCTGCTCCTCCCGGTAAGCCTCCTGCAGACACCATTGGGACATAAGTCAGGGCTCAAAGTTATGGTTTTCCACGGGGCTATGAAGTCTCCACACAGTGTATAAAAGGCCTAGCATTCATCTAAATCAAGTTCTGTCATTTCATTTCAATTGAACCAAAGGAGGAAAATAAAGGTTGAAAAAAAATTCCCAACAGAGATTAAATATTTTTGGTATCTAGAAACATCAGGTCTTGAAACTCACAATTAATTTAAATAAATATATTATTTCTTTTAAACTGATTTAAAAATAAGTTAGGTGACTTTTCCTCCACCTTTTATAAACAAAGAGTACAATTCTCAGTTTGTAAGTCTTCACAAGTTTGGAAATGGGTTGTATGCACACCTTAACTAGCTGTAAAGCAAATGTAGACACTGTCAGGTAAAGTTAGCAAATCTGGTGGGGACATCACAATACCTGTGTAAAGAATAGGTAAAAACTGGAAGACTTTAAGGTTGAAGATGAAGCTAAGTGACCAACTGCTTATCTTAAAAAGTCTGAAGTAGAAACCAGTAGCTGTTTTAGGAAAATAGTAAAGAAACCAGAAAATAAATATTGGAAGAAACAGTAAGTGGGAATCAGAGCACCTGGGTTTTGTACCCTCAGCTGTATCACTAAATGGCTGTGAGGGTTTGGGCATCTATCTGTTTTGCAGGTCTATTTTACGGCACGACACAATGAGAGATCTAAAGAGAAGATGATTTTTGAGGCTCCATCAGTTCTGTCTAAACAGAGACATCATGTGGAAAGAAGAGGTAATTAAAGTACTCAATGGGGACTTAGAAAAATACCTAAACACTGGAGTTTAAAAATCAACAATCCAATGACCTAGATAGAAAAGATGGCATCATTAATGACACTGCTTCAAATGATCAGTAGCACTGTAAGATTACAGGAGAAATACTGAATATTTAATCAAACCAAGACAGAAATAAAAACAAAATTCTGTGGTAAATGCTGAAATCTACACCTGGAAATTATTAAAACTATAAAGTTCCAATGAGATGACTATGAAATTTTTCTGTTAGTAAGAGATACGAGATTTAAAAGTGATGAGCAACTTTTAAATGCATGTTTCATCTATTTGTAAAGTTCCCAAAAGCTTCATGTTAATAATTGACTCCTTTTTAATATTCGATAGTGGTGGTAAGGTAGAATATAAAAGTGGTCACAAGTTCTTCCTTTCTTTACATTCTTAATCTTGCAATGTTACCCTATTATTATCCCTATCAAAAAAGAGAACCTATTTCTACACTCCTTAAATATGTTACTGAGAGACCATTAAATCGAACCAACCAATTAGATATCAGCCAAAGAAACTAAGTGTACAAAACATTAAAGCATACAAACATTAAAAATAAAACACTGGGAGCCTGACTTTCTAAATTCTCTGTGCCACTGCCACCATGTACATAAGGTGGTCCACTGGAAAATGAGATACCTAGTAGGAAGAGGTATTAGCTCTCTCCAGCAGGACTGATGGAGTGATTAGGAGTCAGCCAGTCTCTCATCCACAAACTGCCCACTGAGACCACAAACAGCCCAGTGCAGCTCGGCCCAGGCTACTACATTTGCGGAGTGATTTTGGATACAAGCAGCACAGTCCCAACCACGTAGTCTGAAAATATAACCTGCCTCATTATTCCAAGTGAACCCTTCTAGAAGACTCTGCGGTGCTTGTATAACAAGAAGACTTAGCTGGCAAGATAAGATCCACTCTTTCAACTCTTAGAAAGAGCATACTGGATTGGGCAGCTATGCTTTCATTATCTCTGGACAGCAACATATTAGGGATCAAGCAGGATAGAGGAAAATTATTGTGGAATGGTTGAGTCAACGTGATATTTATGAAGCCTCAACATGAAAAACCAGCAAGTGTATTAGGATGCTGTACCTAAAAGTGGAGTGGAAAAGATTTTAATTTTTTTTTTGTTCACTGTATGAGTAATTCACCTAACAGACTGTTTCCCAAAATTTCAATAGAATAGAAGATGTGATTGAAAAACAAGGTCAAAATTTGACTTAAAAAGTGACATAAATACACATTATCATTAATCCCCCTTAAAACGCTTGCTCTTACTTCAAACACACTTATTCCATGGTTCTCGCAATTTTCTGAAGCAGCTCTGGAAGTCCTCTGTCACTGCTGCCTGATGTCTGAATTACCTCAGACTGTTTACTGTTCATTGTCATTTAGAGTTCAGATCCCGTAAATAGGCAGGTGAGGATATACTATACTGTTTCTGCAAGGCTGACTTTCTGTTGAAAGAAAGAGGTAGCCAGAAGAGGCATTTACTGTTATATTTCTTAATCACATTTTATAAAGATATCCATGAAACAGCACTTCCAGACCTGCTTCAGAAAGTGGCAAGAATGATGTTATAAGTGTGTTCAAAGCAAGAGCAGGTATTTTGAGGAGAATTAATGGCAATGTGTCCCTTATTGTAACTTTTTAAAATTTAAACATTCACCATATTTTTTTATTTTTATTAATACATGTTTGCATACATAATATTTACATTCATCTTATGGGTAGACGTGTAACATATCTTAATTCTTCTTATTCCTCTTCCCTATCCTCCCTCCCCACCCATCAGTTTCTGGATTCCCTTCCCGTTGTAAAAGATCTATCTCCCTGTTTCCTAATGACTATCTTTTTTGAAACTTATTTACACTTTGGACTTTTCATATAAGAGAAGATATGTAATATTTAAGTCCAGTTATACTCTGACCACCCTTTATATTTTCTTATAGGAACAAGAAAAAGTTATAGCAATCCTAGAATATGGATGCATTTGCTTTTACCCTTCCTTATTTACAGAGCTTCTTAAAAGGGTGAGCTCTCTGAGAGCCAGTTTCTTGTTATTCCTGTGCTCTCTTGTATTACTGGGGCTTCCATAAGCACCCAGAGCACAGAGGAGGGTCAGCATCTTGTGTTGAATGTAAGGGCTGCTCAGTGATTCTCCAGGGTAGACACATCAGAATTAGCTCGGGAGCCCAGCTCCAGGATGTGTGATTCACACTCGATGGGATCAGGTGATGCTGAGTCCACCGGTATAAACAGCACATTTTGTGAGCCGCTGGAGCAGACTAATGAGCAAATTGAGAGGATGAACAACTCTTACCTGTTTTCATTAAAAACCCTCCTTTGCTATTTAGAAGTAACAATGGATATAAATGGTTCACATCAATTTTAGATTTTTTGTCACTATTTCTTTATCATGGTAAAACGTACATGACAAACTTTATTATTTCAATAATTTTAAGTATAATTCAGTGGCATTAACTTCCATAGTGCTATGCAACCATCACAAGACTTGAAATTCTCTGGTAAATGTTCACAGATTTTTTTTCCCTAACTATATTTACTGTTCTGATATAAGCATGTACCAGTGACCTTTACTCAGAATCGCAAACAGTGCATGTGTGAAACCCATTTATGTGTACAGAGAGCACATTTTGAGAAGTGGTCAGCACTATTTAACTCTCATCTCAATGTCTTACCTCCTGTGCTTCATGGGCGATTAACTGGTCCATTAACAACCTCCGACGTCTTTTTTCTCTTTGCTCTCGTGCAAAAGCATCTTCTTCTAGGCGCTTCTGGATTTTTTTAATGTAGTCATCATCTGAGTAAGTGCTCAACAAATCTGTAGTTGTATAATCTGCTGTATCTAAAGCAGTCTTGGATGCACTAAGGACAATAGTTTTTATTTTATTTGCTTGTTTATTTAGTTGCATTGAGAATTAAGCTTATTGGTATATTTTAGATATATAATGATCACATTAATCATAGGGAATTTGTATCTGTACAGGATATATCATGATTCTCTTTTTTCCACTTCCCATCCCCCCTTTAATCCCTCTTCCCCTTCGTATTTACTAAAGCTTTGTTACCATTTTCCTTCTTTTCTCGTTCTTTTTCCTTTCCTTCCTTCCCCTCTACCCTCTCCCTAGTTCCCATTCTCATTTGAATATTTTCTTCCTCTTTCCTAATGTCTATTATAAATTTTGTTCCTTATTTACACTCACACCAGAGAAAAAATGAAATATTTACACAGCACCCCAATAGTTTTTTATTTTATATTTAAAAAGTATTATAAGACAGTATTTGTGACTATGGAAGACGTCTGCATAGGGCTCCCTTGAGTGCCCTGTAACTGATTAACGTAACCACTGAAGTTAATGCTAGCTCTCTAGTGTGACATCCATAGCTATTAATAGATTCTGTTTGCTTCTCCTCATTTTTGAGCTCTGTCTTTGTGAGGTCCTTAGCATAGCTCTTTCTAAGCCCATTACTTTTTTGAGTTTCACCTCTTAAGATCCTTACATAAAGATTCTGAAGTTCTCCCCTTCTTCTTCCTACTGGCTTTGTACTTCTTTCTTGCCCTATTTTGAGTTAACAGAAGGCTCACTACTGATAACTCACTTGTTAGGGAAGGCACACCTCCGCGACAGCGGACCAGATACTAGAGAATACTCCTGTGGAAGGTTGCAACCACTACCAGTCTCTTCTCACCAGCAAAAATGCAAGTGACTCTACCAAGTCCCGGACGAATTTCTGACTCCTTAGAGGAGTGGTTCAGCCCTTTTTGGAAACTCTGCAGTTGAAAGTTAACTTGCTGATCACGAATACGCACAAGTATAGGTCTGACCTGGCCTCCATCCAACTCATAGCCAAAGATCAAAGACCAGAAAAAGCCTGATCCTCTTTCAAAAAAAAAAAATTAAACACTAAATTTAGTGAGACAAAGAGAGTTAGTAAGAAAACAACAACAAAGCAAGGTATTGAGAGATAGTTGGATAGAGAGAAAGGAAAGGGGATTCAAAAGGTTATTAAAGTATGTTATGTACATGTACTAACATTCCATGAGGAGTGTAAACATTTATTACACACATGTACTAACAAAATAAAAAATTTTAAAAGGTATCATTAAAAATAAAAAAATATGTATATCACATTTATATCACCAATTCTTTTCTGCATGCCTCTCTAAAAGGTAAAATACAATGGCACAGTAACATAAGATGTATCAAGATGGTTACTTGCCAAGAAATAATGACTTTTTTGTGTCATAAAAAATCACTGCTCTTAATGTTCTGAGTAACATATATTTGATTTAGAATAAACTTAAAAAAGAAATTCCAACTCACTATGTCCCTTCTAAGTATCTTCCTATGAGAGGTAAAGACATACTCTTAAGTGAAATAAATCAGACGTATGTACATTGTTTCTCTGATATAAGAAACCAAAAGTGTAAATACGGACCAAAATGTATAACAGATATTGGAAAATAGGAAGAAAGTGTTCAAACAGAAAGGGAAATAGGAAGAGGGGAAGGGAAAGGAAGGGAAAAGAAAATGATTCGAAAAGAAGGAAAAATGGAAACAAAGCTTTTATAAAAAGGAGAAGAGAGATTGAAGGGAGTTAGAGGAGAAGTAGGGAAAAAAATGAACACAGATCATGTACATGTACAAGCTCCCTATGATGAGTATGATCATTATGTATACCTAAAATGTACCCATTAACTTAGGTAATAAAAAAGATGTCTTATTATAGTGATACATGCACTCTCATGTTTATAGCAGCACAATTTCCAATAGCTAAATCTTGGAAGCAGCCTATATACCCATCATCAGATTAAAAAAAAAAATGGTATTCCCCCAAAATGGAGTGTCGCTCTGCTCTGGAGAACGATAAACTTGTGTCATTTGCAGGAAAAAAGGTGCACTTTCAGACCATAATGTTCAGTGAAGCAAATCGGATACACGTTTAAACATTACATGGTTTCACTTATATGACAAACCTAATATAGAAATATGCATATAAGATAAAAGACAGGCAATAGAGGGAAAAAGAGAGCAAAGAGAAAAGTTTGTATAATCCAGCATGGCCAAGGTATTTAAATGTGTACCTTGATTTAGTGTAATTGTCTTAGATGTTTTACATGTTTTTATGGCTTATTAGTCTGGCTGTTTATCTGTTTTTACGATAATTAATTTGATAAACAATTATAAAATATACAAATGGATCTAATGGTGAAAAGATAATTCTGCAACAATGGGGTGAGGAAGGAGGGAAAAGAACTGAAGTGTGTTAGTTCACATACCAATTCCCCACAATGAATGTAGCTGTTGTACACTGCTAACATGTACTCACAGAAATAATCAAAATTTTTAAAAAGTAGCAGCTAGAAAAGATACAAATAACCCCATCAAAATTACAGCATCCAACAGCTTTAGCTAAATAAACAAATAAAACAAGTAATTATTTATGATGTGCCTGAAAAATTAAAAACAAAAAAACCTGAGAAACCCTGAGGGGAAGGTAGCTAGGGAAGCCCTTGCATTGCTAGTATTAAGATTCTGTATTTCATAAGATAGCTCATTCTTCCTCAGAAGAAGAAATATAGACTTCAGAGTAATAGTCTTGCCCCTGAAGAATTGTTCAGAGGCAGCCTGTGAAAGAGGCAACTACAGTAATTGCACTTTAGGTTCAAGTTGCAAGATTTTAGCGCTGTCTGACATCAAGTTAGTCTGAAGTTTCTGAATGAGCTCAAAACATCATTTTGGATTTAAAGCTAAACAAGGAATTTAAAAGGTAGTGATTCATAAAGGAAATTAAAAGGACTATGATTAACCACAGCCTTTGTTTTCTTTAAAATTTGCCATAGACTGATTCATCTGTTCTGTGGTGATGAACAGATGGTTCCCAGCAGAAAGGCCAGTGCAAAACATTGAGGTACTTTTTACTTGCTGGCATATTGTATTCTCTCTACCTTCTTACCAGAGATACCTCAGTTCCCAGAATTTAGCAGCCACTGAACATGACAAGTCCTACCAGCATCCGTTTTGAATGACTAGTGTCTTTACCGTGTCAGTAATTAAATGTCTCAAGATCACCCCTGACCAGAAAGTTACAAACACTTGTCTGTTCTCTATTCCTTCATCCACTGCAGGTGGACTCTGGATCTCCATTAGTTATCTTCAGAAACCCCAAAGCAATAGTTGCCAAATGAATCATTCAGTTGGAAGAATAAGCATAGTATGGAAAAATAAATCAATATCACAGTGCATATTTATCTTCCTTCTAGGCTTCATGAAAGTTGTTAACAATTTTAATTTTAACTCTTTTTATCTTCCATATATACATTCTTAATGAAGATTTGCCAAAGTGAAAGACCTTTGGAATAGGTATACTAAATAAATTATTTCTAAATATTTAAAGGTTACACATACACTAGAATCCAGTTTTGTGAGGAAAGAGTTAACATCCCACCTTTCTTTTGCCTGGAGATCCTTTTTTATTAATGCTTCAAATTTCATGATTTCATCAGCGACATCCTTTAAAGAAAATTCATCATCGTTTAAACATTTTCATGTGACCTTATCTACACTATTAACTAACTGAAAGTCTGAAAATTGACTTCATCTCTTTTTTATGAATTACAATTTATTATTAATGGTCCTTTTCAATTTAGAAAAATAGTCTAAATAAAGATCAAAAAAGCCACTGTGGGTAATATTTTATGAACCTTGAACATCAGACATTTGTTAGTGTTTTTAAAGATGTTGATCAATGTAAAATACAATGGGTCTGGGAATCTTGGAACAATCTGTCTGCTTTACCAGCACTGGTGAACTGAATGAAACATGTTAGTTTTTAGGGTCTTAGCTTCCTTATTTACAAAAAGGGGGAGATAACACACTTTACTTAGAAAGTTATTTACAAAATAAATTTCCAGTCTTCAGTCTGACATACAGTAGACAACCAATCATGGTAGCTATTATTCTTCTTACATCACACAAGAGAATATCAATAATCAAGAATTAGTATCAAAATGTAGTGTTGTTATCCTAGAAAATATGATAGGTTTTACCCTGTAATAAAGAGGTGGAGGTTGGTATGTTCTAACAAAGTATCACTATTATAGTTATTGTAAATTTAAATAACCTGATAGCAGTAACGTAGTACTGCAAGGTGAAAAGGAATGGCATGCATGTGTGTGTGTCTTATTGGCCTTTGCATGACCCATAACAGTGAACTATTACAATAGCAGTTATTCTAATCTACTTTCTTAGCAGCTACAGAATCTTCCTAGTCATGGGAGTCCAGAGCTGTACTATCATTTACTGAAGACTTTTCATGTCTAGTCTAAAGCTAAATTCTCTGTTTCTGAACAAATAACAGTATAAGGTGGATTGGCTATGCATAGACTAAAGGCATTTTGCATATAAGTACATACAATTTGAAAACTAAGAAGTTTTGAAAGATAATCCTATTTATTTTAGGAAAATACTACCCTTCAACTAAAATAACTAAAACACAACAGTAAAAGATTACCACTTACCGCTGCCTCTTTTTGCTTTTTCATCCTTTTTTGGTCCTCAAGAGCTTTCAAAGTGCGATTTGATGCAGGTTTAGGAATTTGTATGATTGCTGCTTGGATTTTGGCCATTATTTCATTTTGTCGTCTTCGGCTTAAGCGTTGCTGAGTATTGCATACACATTGGTTCTGTTATTCAGTTTGTCACAGTAATGGGCAATATACAATTTTTAAAAATTTTCAGAACCACACAGTCAACTAATATACCAGGTGTCAAAATTGTGTGATGATAAGAAGCAATTGTCAATGTGATTTACATGAAAATTATATTAAAACACAATTGTGAAATCCACAGATTATATCTGATAAATATGAATATTACATTCTGTGTTATGTCACTGAAGAATAATACAGTTATTCCAAACACAAAGAAAATTATTATACTTTCCCAGTCCTGCCTTTATGATTTGCATAATCATGGGAAGAGAAAAGTCTGTCTCTGAAGATTTTCTGTAGGGCAAATTCAACATAGAGGTATCTGTAGAAAGGCCCCAGGGAAACTCAATAAAAATGAAAGTTTATCCCAAACACATTTACAAAGTGTACAAAAGGTATTGGGTAACACAAACATTGAATTGACACACAGTTATACATCATTATTGGCTCTTCTTTTAAATATGTAGGCAATAATTATTTTAAGGAAAATATAAACTGAAGAATATAAGTGAAATGAAAATAAAAGCATAAACTGAGAAGAAATATTTTAAAAATAAATGATTGAAGAGGTAACCTATAAAACCTATCATCACTTTACTACTAAAGTATTATACTGGAATTAGTAAGAGATTATTAGTTTCTATGTCCCGAGATATAATTTAAATTACCATCGAAACTGTAGAAATTGAACATAATTTAAAAGTTTTCTTCATTTTACTTTCCAAAATGTGAATTTTTATGTGCATTATATACATAATATATTTATCTTTTTCTTTAAGAAAGTCAGTAAGTCACATATTTTCTTTTGCCCAGGTTGCTTTCTGTGCTCATTTTAAACATAATTTATTTCAGAATATATAACGATGTCACGTTTTCCTTTCCAAATTTTCTGTGGTGACTGACTGCATTAGATTTGGCACTTTAAAGCTGCAATGACTGGTTTCAGATAAGTTAGATTCTATCTCTTGGTCCCAGTTTAAATACTACAACCTCTTGCCATGCAGTGCTAGGGGAGGCATGATCCTTGACTCTGGCAATGATGGGAGCATAAGATCTTCCAGCATTTGATTTGCTTTTTCCCCTCCTTAACTACAAGAACGCAGTCACCATTCTGGAATATACGAAATTTTATAGTGCAATAGGAAGAATTATAATTATTTTGCTTGTAGTTTACACATTCCACATACCTAGCCAATTGAAATCCTTCTAAGAGTCTTTAATAATAATAATTCCATACATCTTTATCCAATCATGGCCTTACAGACACATGATTAAAGATTTTTTTAAAAATTGTGAAAGGCATCAGTGTGCTGGTCACAGCAGAAAACAAGGGCCAGGAATAAGTCAAAGAAATGTTTAACATGGTTGGAAAGGGAAGAGAGAGATGGAGCAAGACAGGGCCACTAAAGACATTCCCAAGAACACAACTAGTGGGGAAAACATCTGCTCTGTCTCAGTCCAAGGTGACAGTGGTTATGAACCTGACCTTCGTGTAGCTAGTATCAAACCCCTTTCACTAAAGTAGCTGAAGCATACATTTCCAGCAGTAGAAGAGACTGAGTTGTCCCGCCACTCCCTAAAATGGGAGCTATCATTCTCAGCCACACTAGGAGGTGCAGTTAACAGGAGTAAGGGTGAATGGCAAGGAGGGGGGGACAGGAAGGACAAAGTCATGCATCAGGAAAATACTATTTGTGTTGCATTATTATATATGCAATCTGTACTAAATGAATAACACAATAGTGTACTATGTCCATTTCCCTAAATGCTATCATTCTGTAAAACCTCTTTAACCTTTTAAGAACACCTTTGTTCTTTCTTGAGTTTTTGAAATCTTTTAAGTTTCTCAGAATGCACTAGGGCAAGATCTTTTTATTTGTTTATATATTTTTGCTTATATGTTTTTTTCAAACCTTTATGTAACTACAACACCACAATCAGTTTGATGTGGTACTAGATTTTTAAGTCTCTAAATGAAAATATTTCACAAGATTTTGCTATTAGACAACAAAGATTGTATTGTCACTATGAACGCATATAAATTTATCTTTAAATTTTTTATGAATTAACATTGTTAATAATTAAAATAAATCCAAACCCCATGTCAGTCATTCTTTTCTTTCACTGATCTGAGGACAGTAAAAATATGACTTGATTTTCTTCCCATTTATGATTTTATAGTAAATTTCATAAAATCTATTCTAATGTATAAGAGATAATACAAGAAGAAGCCAGATTCTTTTCATTACTGAAGCCACTCCTCAGGAAAAAAAAAAAAGCATTAAAACTTCAGGACACAAGTTTCACTTCTGTTATCTATTAGCTGCACAAAACAGAGAAGTTACCTAAACTTTCTGTGCCTCAGTTTCATCATCTATGAAATAAGAGTAATAAAAATATCTGTTTCACAGAGTTATTTTGACCATCAAGTGAACCAATATACACAAAGTATCTGCAAGATTTGGCATGTCACTATTACATACAATAAACATCAGCTGGCATTAACATTACTAAACAAGAGTCACTTTTATATACCTCATTAGCCATCAAAGAAAACCACTATTTTTTTCCTAATCTCCTCTGCGTGATCTCTGCCAGCCCTGAGGAAAGCCGTGCTACCCTCCACCTTGTGTCCACACCCCCGGGGGCTTCCTGGCGACTTTCGCCAGCCCTGAGGAATGCCGCGCCACCCTCGGACCTTACGCCCGTGCAGCTGGGCTTCCTTTGTGACCCCAATCACCCTGGAGGAATGCTGCACCAACAGCCACTGCCCTCAGCGACCCTCCCCATCTCCGAGACCAAGTACTTGATCTTTGGCTCCCACTCCTCCTCCCAGAACTTTGAACTACAGTGGATTAACCAGGCTGAGTTGAAGGGAGACTCAATGACTTCTCACCCAAACAGAAGACCTCAGCAGGCTCCAATCACTATGCTCCTGTGCTTCTCCTAGCATTCATCCTACAATTTCAACAACCAGTTGAAGTTACAGCTTCACTAAGAGGAATAGGACCAAACAGGATGAAACAGAATGAACCCATTCAGAACAAAACCATAAAAGCAATATAGGACTTCAAAACAAGATAGCACCCCATGGACACCAGGACTGATGCAACCAATGTGCCCCTCAGCCCAGGACCACCTATGCTGCTATGCTGCGCTTCCTGCAGGCCCAACAGATACCTGTCCCTGGACACCCACTGGCCCCTTGAGGGCACTGCGCACCTCCTGGACCTAATACTCCTGTTGATCTTCAGCCCCCACCCTTTCTCCCAGAACTTTGGACTACAGAGGATTAACCATGCTAGCTTGATGGGAGACTCAGTAACTGCCTCACCCAAACTGAGGATCTCAGCAGCCTGCAGTCAGTGTGATGAATACACCCCTAAAATAGAGGTGTACAGTGGGTAAATAGGCCAGTAGTAAAGCTCCCTCCAACTAACTGTAAGACCTTGGAAAGTCTGTCAAGAGTGTGGGTGACCCCTTCCTGCACACAGAAAACATCAGGCAAGGTGAGGAGTACTCCAATAAGGACTCTCCCAACTTGGAGAAAATCAAAAGGGCTTATGAGACACACAGGCACACAATAGGACACAGTAGGCCTCAGCTGACACAAACAATATAGACAGGGAGATTTGGTGACCGGAATAACCTGAAGATAAAGTAACGGCAGGAACTAAAAGTTGACATATGTCAATAATACTAGGCTTGTCAGCCCAGGAAGAATACAGGATTCACCTGACAGTCCCTGCAGGGGGAAAGTCAGGTGACTGGCCCACATCTTCATTGTGGGACCCAGCAATTGGACAAACATCAACCTTACAGTAGGACCCCAAGATACATAATACCAGCAGTGACACTATTGAAGAACCAAATATTAACCCAAAGGGGGAAAATGACAAAACAAAAAAGCAAAATGCAATCTCAAACATCTAGTCCGCCAGGAGCAGGTACAGGAGACATTGAAGTAGAGGACCTCAAAAGTATTGCACTGGAAATCTCTGAAAAGATAGCAAATAAAATAAAAAACCAACTCCATGAGGCTATAGAAAAATCAAATCAGAAGTAATCTCTCATGTAAAGACAGAAATAACAACCTTAGTAATGGAGTTGCTCAGCCCAACTAAAGAAGAAATAGATAAAAAAAAGTACAGGAGCATGGGAAATTGATTGAAACCTTGAATTACCAATATAGAAAACAAGCAGAATTCATGAAACAAACTCAAAGAGACATCCAAGAAACAAAAAATTCTACTGAGAGCTGGCAAAACCATTTAAATGAAGCTGAGGATAGGATTTTGGAGCTTGAGGACAGGATCACAATTAGCAATCAGAAAGGATAAAACTTTTAAAAATAACAAAGCAGCATGAAATGACAATCCAGCAATTCAAGATGATGTCAAGAGAAACTATAAGATTAATAGGCATCAGTGAAGATGCAGGAGTCAATGCAAATGACATAACTAAAACATTCACAGAAGCAATAGCAGAAAACTTCCCAAAACATGGGGAAAAATCTGATATGCAGATAAGTGAGGCATATAGAATGCCAAACAATCACAATCAACATAAATCTACACCCAGACATATAATAATTAAGATCTCAGACATACAACATAAAAGAAGAATACTAAAAACTGCTAGAGAAAAGGCACAACTCACCTATCAAGGAAATCTCATTAGAATCACAAACCCTCAAGTCAAGAGGAACTTGGAGTGAGGTATTTCAAGCCCTGAAAGAAAACAACTTTGAACCCAGACTGATGTACCCAGCACAACTTTCATTCGAATTTAATGGAGAAACAAAATACTTCTATTACAAAGAATAACTGAAGACATTTATGTTCACCAAACCAGTCTTAGAAAGAGTACTGAAAGATTAGTATAGTAGAGATAAAAATGACCACATCCCCAGAACAACAACAGGAAGAAACCACCAGGTAGGACAAGCATTTAAACAAGGAAGAAAAACAGAAAGCAAACAACTGGAACATAACATGGCAATTTTGAGCCAGTACATATCAGTGATATCCTAATCTCTCTCCTCCTCTACACCAATGAATAAACCACTTATTGTCTCATCATCTTTTCTCCGCAGAGGACATCGTTCTGTTTTGTCTTCAGACCACATTTGACTTCTGTGGCTAGATTTTCTTCTCACTTGGCAAATTGCTCCACTTTCTGTGTTATCAAATAATCTGATACTCCTCTGGCTCCTTAGCTACTTTCTTATTTTCTTTACCTCCATATATCTTGAAAGCATATTCTCTTTTGTGATCTCCAGTGTCCTTTTCAGATCATGGCAATTATACCACTTAAATAAAAAAATTTTTTCTTCCCAAAATGTAAAATCTGTTGAGACTTTTTCTGTGTTGTTCATTTTCAAGTGCTTGGCATAAAGTAGGAATCTGATAAATGTCTGTTCAATGAGTGACTGACTCTGGAAAGTCACCTTTGAACAACGCTAGGCCTAAGGGTCACTTGTTTGTCCTCATTTAGGGCAGCTTTTACCACTTATATCAACAGCATATTGTCTTCTGAAGCTACATAGAATCCCACTGATCAGGCAGGTACAAAATAATTGTCCTTGTTTTTACCACTTTGAAAATTTTTCCAGAGACTAATGCAAAGGTAATCAGCTTGTTTATAAGAAAGATATATTACCACATTATTCAGATTTAATTCTAATTTAATATTTAGCTCTCCATGAGTAATGAGTCAATTTTGTTATCAAGTTTTATAAAAATGTTCATTAAAAATGTCCAAACTTGAAAATAGAAATGATCCTCACATCTACTATGTCATTGCTACTTCATAAATTAAATTTTAAAATGTAATTATTTCCATCCATATTTATTCCTTTGCATCAGGGCTGCACTAAATATTAATTCAGGGCCTTTCTTCGCTTACCATGAGGAACTAGCACAGAAATTGAAAAAACTTTTCATCTAGAAAGGTATATTAATTTATCAGAGCATATTTCCTGAAGTTTTGCAATTTTGAAAGAACTACACTGAACATATTTCTTGAATTTGAGGTACTAAAGACCATGAGGTCATATGATGTATAAATAATGAATGCTTAACCAACAATATCAGCATTGGGAGGTTAACACGCAGAGATTGAAAATTACGTTTCCCAGGAGTTAAAAAGAAGAATCTATGTGTACCAGAAAGGCTAAACAGAGGATGGAAAAGACAAGTTTGGGAAAGAAGAGAGACCAGAAAGGTGACTTTGGGTGGGAGGGAAGAGTAGGAATATACAAGTTGTATTCAAAGACACACTATCAATCAGCATAAAAGAAAGAAAGACAGGATGCTGAGGACTATGAAGAAATAAAATTAGATGAGTTGAGACTGTTTAAGGAAAGAATGTGAAGATCAGCAAAATTTAGAGGCAGGATATATATGCACAATGATTTCCAAGCCAAGGAAGAACTCAAGGAATTTGTATTTCAGAAAACACACATATGGCACTTGATTAGCTTCTGGCAAAAACTCTAAAGCTGGAGAGACGTGTTAAGAGGTTGCTGCCTGGGTGTATAAGGAGATCTGAGCAGATATAAGGGTAAAAATGGAAAGAAGCAGAGAGACACAAAAATTATTGGGATTGAGGAGCAGACTTTTAAAAGCGACCAGCAATGTGAATGGGGATATGATATCAAAACTAGGTAACTTACTTAGAAATATGAAAAAAATAAAATTTAAATTTGGCCAGTAAGATACATATAGACATATATACCTGACAGATAAATGCCACAGAACTGTCATTATTCTTCGGAAAGTCTTACACTGTGACATGTTGACCAGGTTTCTTTGTGTACCTACCTCTCGGAAAGCCTCATTTTTCACGTTCTGAAATTTCAAGCTTGTCAGGGGCTGCGTGGTTGACACTGGTACTCCAGTCAACCCACTTTTCTTCTTTTTCTGAAGAGCAATGTACAATTGATATAGGAGTTTTGTTGCTGCTCCAGGCTTCTCTGTGATTATGTTTTGGGCCACATTCTTATCAAATTGCACACCCAGAAGGTGAAGTGTTGGCTCCAAGCGGGAAAAATTAGTAAGTCTGGCTGTTGAAATCCTAGGAGTTAATATATTTTATATAATTAGACATCAATGTTGAACTAAAACAACAAATATCAGAGGAATTACCGTGATACAATATTATGAATTATCTCATGTTCTTTCAAGTGCATAATTTCTCTCTAAAACCACACAATTTGTAATAGCCAGATCTTGGAAACAACATAAGTATTCGTCAACTGAGGAATGGATAAAAAAGATGTGGTATTTTTATACAACAGAGTACTACTCAGCTATAAAGAATGATCACATTGAGATATTTATAAATAAATGGATGCAGCTTGAGACCATGCTCCTAAGTGAAATATATCAAACTCACATGAATAAATACTGAATAGTTTCCCTAGTGTAAGAAATGGTAAGAATACATAAAGGTATGTGGTAATCACGACTCCCCATTATATTGCTTTGAAGCCTTCTAATATTTTCATTCATAATTGGAATGGTTTTATTCTGGGTTGTTTGATTTTATTGTCTGTGATGGTATGAACAGCTATTTTGAAGAAAACAAGACATTACAATAGCTAGTAATGATTTATTATCATCTTGTTTTGAAGTCCCACCAGCTTTTGCTTTTCTATCTCCATCAGTTTTATCATGTTGTATCTTATTGGATTTTATTATATGTGATAGTATAAACAAAATTTTTTATAGACAAGGAGATAATATTGTTCGTTTTCTGTTAGTTGGTTCTGAATACCCTGTAATATTTTCATTCTTTTGAATAGTTTTACATTGTCTTGGTATGTTTGATACTATAGTATATGAAGGTATACTCAAATATTTCAAGGAAAGAGACAGTATGGTAACTACTATGATCTCAGGCTATCCTGTGGTGAAACACTATGTTGCTTAAATTGTTTTCTGACCTGTGTTGTTATGTCCTCTTTTATCTTAATCTTTTCTTTAAATAAAAAAAATTTAAATAGTGAAAAACAAAACAAAACTACCACACACAAAAAAAAAATAAAAATAAATAAAACCACTGAGTAATGGAAAAATTGAAATTTTTGTATTGTCGGTGTCTACCTGAAATCCATTTATCTTTCTGGAATGAACTAAAATTAATTAATTTTATTTTTTTTGCTCAAAGTTGAAAACAAAAATTTTATAGAAATTTAATACAGAAAGATATAATCAGATACTTTCTTCCAAATAGAAAAACTTACAGGTTTAAAAACTATTTCATTTGGAAGGCAAAATTGCAATTTAGATGTGTATTGCTACCAACTTCTCACCAAAAATGATACCTCAGCACTGAGAGAATTGCCACACACACATGTGAGTGCCTAAAGAAAGAAAACACTTAGGAGTCCTGGGCACCACCTATTACATGTATGGAGAAAGAGGATGAAGGGTCACCTGTCAGAGTGTTGTCTGAGTTATAACCTTTGGCTGCAGTGGTTACAGCATAATTCAGGAGGGAAAATCCAAAAGCAAGCATTACCCATTTCTAATTTTTTTCAGGGTTTAGCCTTACACCAAGAAAAAGGAAGAACATTCCCTGTCCTCTACCTTATATAATATGGCTCCCAAAATGCAGAGGAAGTCTGTACATATTATAGTTCATTTAACTATTAGACTTTAAAATGGTTTTTATGAACTGGACATTGTATTCAAGTATAACAACATTTCTCTATGTAAGTCCCAATAAATATTCTAACTTCCTAACAAATCAAAATTTGGGAAATGTAACTTGCATATGAATTGATGGAAATTCAAGCTTGTTAAAGCATTTGTACATTCAGCATAAGGATATTCAGCAGTTGTTTTTGAATATAGAAAACGTACTGGGACATCTTTGCTTAGTCTCCAGAGCATATGACGTAAGATATGACCTCTGAGGGAATAAGGAATGTGCTCTGGGAAAAGTCTTCTGCTTGTCCAGTGAGGCCCTTACTTAACAAGGGCCACTTTCTCCTCGCCTCTTTGACACCTGGTGAGGGAAAACAACTTTTTACAAAATAAGTAGAAGCTGTCCACCCAAAAATATTCTTCTTTCCTTCCTTCTTTCTCTCTTTCTTTTACTAATATGCTCATTACTCGTCCTTTTGGAAGGACTAATCATATTCTAAGGTAGATAATGCAGAGTTAGATGAGTTATTCTGAGAATCGAATAATTTCCTAGACAATGAAATTTAACTTATTCACAGCATTAGTTTATAACTTTCATTTGGATTAGGAAAATTAAAAGTATTAGGCAAGATGCCCAGATTTTAAAAAAAAGCTGGATTTTACAAATAATTTTTTTTCAAACAACTGTACTATTAAGAAGGTTAAGTCCATAGAATTTTTCATCTTTTGCTTATTTAAAAGAAAGTATGATATCTCAAGAACTGAAGATAAATCATATTTGGTTGTCAGGAAAAGGAAGTCACTCTCTACAGAATTAGTCTAACTACCCACTAAAAGATGAATGGATACGGAAAGTGGAATATTTACTTTAGCCATAAAGAAGATAAGAATCTCATTTGTAGAAAAATGGGTGGAAATGGAAACCATCATATTAAGGAAAACAGCTGAGACAAAGAAAGGCAAGTATCATAAGTTTTCTCTTACACATGGTGCCGAGAAATTTGAAAAATGACTTGAAAGTAGTACAGAGATTAAAGGGGTTGGGAGAAAAGTGAGAAAGAGAAGGATAAGAAAGGGAAATAGAGAAGATATACATGATCAAAACAAAACATATGCATGTATAGAAATGTCACACTGAAACCTATTAATTGGTATAATTCATATTCATTAATAATTACAATTTAATAAGGAAATCAAAAAATGCATCAACTCTCAATAGTACAGAAATTCCTCCCAGTGGAAGACAGGTAGGGCTGTTGCAACTGATGTTATTCATGCAGGAAGCTCACCTCCAAATACTGGCCAAGGATATGAGATATACTATGTGCTCAACTTGCCTGGCCCTATCCCTGGCATAGTACTCCTTCACTCAGAAAGGGCCCCATTGTTTCTTGAACAAAGCCTTCTCTAGCATCCTCACAGTTGTATCCATCTGTGGCCCTACTAATGATAGCCAATTTAGAACAGTCATTTCTTAGTATCTATAGGGCCTTGGTTCCAGGATCTTTTATGGATACTAACATCCTTGGATGTTTATATAATGGCAACCATATTCGCTTATTATGTAGGCATATCTTCTCCTATATTTTAAATCATCTCTAGATTACTTATACTAATGCAATATAAATTCTATGCAAATATTTTTATACTAAAGTTCTTACGGATTCAAGATTTGTTTATTAGATGACCATTAAGCTAACCAAGAACACAATAAGGAATACAGATTTTTACAGAATTAGCCCAAGAAATTCTTGAAACAAGCTAAAGGCAGCAACGTAAGTAAGAATAACAACAATGGGCCTTGGGGAGGTACAATAATTTTAGTTGCCACATGATAGGTTTTCAGTGTTCCCCTTTCAGTAATTATGAGGTATATGGAAATACAAGAAGGTATAGCCCATACATACGGAAAAATGTTGGTAGAAGTTGTCTGAGGAACCATAGCATGTACAGTTTCAGAAAATAGAAGTGTTGCTATAGCAAAATATTCACTAGAAAAATAAGTTTAAAAAGTAAGTATAACCTCAAAAATCTCTGAGATATCATCAAGTGTAGTAATACTGGGATTTCCAAAAAGAAACAGGAGAGAGAAAGGAGTAAAAAGAATAGCTTGAAAAATAATTCCCAAAATTGTAACAAATGTGATGAAAGTCATGAATCTATTTAGTCAAGAATCTCACTGATCTCTAAATAGGATAATTTGTAGATAACCAGGCATAGATAACCAAGTAGCAAGAGAAAAATCAATTCATCACAGAGAAGAGTTTCTTAATAAAGAATGTAGCTGATTTATAAAACAGGTCAGAGGGCAGCAGGAAGGCATATTTGAAGCACTGAAAGGGAAAGAATGCCAACCAAGAATTCTGCAATTAGCAAACTATATATCAAAATTGAAGGATAAATAAAAGCTAAGAGAAATGATTGTCCACATACCAAGAATATAAGACATACTAAGAAATCGTTAAGGCATAAGTGAGAGAACATTAAGCAGCAACTCAATGTACATGTAGAGGTAATTAAATAGAGAAATATATAAAAGAGTTTAAATGTACTTTTGTTTATGATGATTGTTTTCCATCTGATTTAAAAAATAGTGGCACAAAACAATACTTTTAAAACTTCTTTTTTATGTCAATAATAGTATAAAGGGAGAAAGGGAAAAATTGGGATACAAAAATTTTGTATGATGTTGAAATCAATTAGTACTAATTTGATCCATTATGAGTTGGTTCAAAATGTAAATTATAATCTCCATGGCAACCTGTATGAAAATAATTCAAAAATATGCTAAAAGAAATAATAAGAAAATCAATACTACATTTGAAAATACACAAAAGAAGGTAGAAAGGGAAGGGCAAAAGATATAGAAAACAAATACTAGAATGGCAGATTTAAATTCTCTCTCTTTTGTAATCACATTAAAAATATATTAAATAACTATGCTTACAAAGCAAGTGTGGTTAGTATTACATATTGACTCAATTACATGCCTTTTAGCAGACAATACACTTTAGATTTAAAGATAAGCATTAGTTGAAAGAAAAAGATTGGAAACACATAAATTATGCAAATAATCACAAGCGAGCCAAAGTGATCAGTATCAGACAAAATTAACTAAGAAAATTACTAGTAGATAATAAGAATATTTTATAACCTTCAACAAGATATTAAATACTACAAACATATATACATCTAACAAGAGCACCACAAAATACATGAAGCAACAGCTGTGTGAATAGAGGGAGAAGCAGAGAGATCTACAGCAATAACTATGGACTTTGGGACCACTCTCTCAACAATAGGTACAGAAACCAGGCAGAAGACCAGCAACAAATTACAAGACGTAAACAGTATTATAATCCAAGGAAATATTAAAGATATCTACAGAACATCAACAAAAATGTAATACACATTCTTTTCAAGTACACATGAAACATTTTCAATGTGGAAGTATATGTTAGAAAATAAAGGCTCATAACTTTAGAAATATTGATATGATAAAAGCGTTTACTCAGAAATATACTAAAAATCACTAAATTGTATTCTTTAAAATGGCAAGTTGTGGTTTAAGAATTTTATCACAATATAAATAATAAAAAGGAAAATATGGAATTTTAAATTAACACTTAAATTTTATTTTTAAAGCACAAGAATGGATATTAATTCAACACTCAGGTCATTATATGCTATTTCATGTCTTCTTTTTAGTAAAAAAGAATAATTATCAAAAGAAAAAATAACCTGACTGAAAAGTGCAGGAATATGAACGCTACTAAATGAGCCCTCCGTGAAGATGAGGTCTTGATGAAACCATGTAATTTTCTCTTCTTTGTATTCCTAAGGCAACAAAGAATGCAATATGAGGAAGCAACCATTTCCAAACCAATGGTTTGACTGATTTAGATTTAGAAATGATGTGAATGATGGTTCTATTAACTTTGAACGCTCCAATGCCTATGTACTTAATGATTTTAAAAGTAAATAATGATCTCACTAACCTGCTGTCTGAAAATTCTGAAAAATCATCCTGAAGTTCGAATTTGTGCAGAATTTCTCCAATTAGATAGCCACTGGAAAACACCTTTGCAAATGACTTGGGATCTGAATTCAAAATATTGACATAAAAAAGAAAAAATATTACTACAATGTAACATACATATACAATCAAATTCTATAACTTAAATTGGACCCATGTGCCATCAATATATTTCTAGAAATATCTTTTAGTAACCAAAATAAAAGATTTATGTGTAACAGTAGACACAAATCCCCAAATTAAAACCAATCATTGATGATATATAAATTTTTAAAGGAGGATAATTTCAAATTAAAATGATGTAAAAGACATTCAATGAAATTTATTTTTAAAAATCCTAGATCTAAAAACAAATCTTCAAGATATTTTACAAAATTTTTTTCTATTGCTTTAGTTATCCATACAACCTATCATGGAACATATTCTAGCCAAGTGAAGTTCAATCTTAAATTTTAAAATAAAGATGTAATTTTAATTTGTAAATAATGAGAAGTATATTAAAAGCATTTGTACTATCTTAATTAAACCTTATTGGACATAATCAAGTTTTTGCTTTGTGGCTCAGAGAAGACATTGCAATCCAGTTCTGTCCCATTTAATGATGGAAATATCTGAGAGAAAAAGTAGCTTTGAGTCAGACACAATCTATGCAGGAGTCTTGTATGCAATCTTGGGCAGGGAGTATAACCTCCCTGAAATTCTGCATCTGACAGGAGAGGGGAAGTAATATTTATGGCATGCCATGTACAACTACCAAATATCCACAATGAGTGTAAACATTACATGCCATAAACCTGAACTGAGAATAGTAACAAGAATGAAAATGTAGAAAAAGGATTTAGAGACAGAGAGAGGGAAAGGGGTGGGCAGGGAAGGTGGATTAGAAACAAAACAAGTTGTCTTATGTACACGCACCTACTCCCTAAAGTGAATGTAAACATCATGTACTGCAAATATGTACTAATAAAATGAAAATAAAATAGGTAACTACGTATCTTATGTTTTAGATTTATTTTTAACTAGACGTATTTTTAACTGATACATATAAATATATGAATTTCATATATTAATGGAATATCATGATATTTTGACACACGTACACATCTATAATGTTTAAGTCAGGTTAAAATACATATTTCCTCAAACGTTTATCATTTCTGCATGGAAAAATATTTTAAAATTTTTTTCTAGCTGTTTGATACATATAGTTTATTATTGGCATATACAATGAACTCACTGTACAATAGAATGGTACAACTTATTTTATCAAGACATAGTACTCACCGACTAACCTCCTTCTTTTTCTCTGTCCTCCCTACTCTCCCCAGTCTCTGGGAACCACCATTTTACTCTGAACTTCTATGTAATCAACATTTTTAAACTTCATGAATAAGTAAGATCAGATACTTGTTTTTCTGTGCCTGGCTAATTTCACTTAACATAATCTCCAAGTTTATGTATGTTGTTAAAACAATATATTTCTGTTCTTTTTTATGGTTGAATGGCATTCCATTGTGGGATGCAATCTGAGATTGTAAATAATATCTGAGAATTACCAGGTGCCATGTCTTTCATCTAGTCGGCACATAATCATAAGTTCAGAAAAAATTTCAAGTATGCCATAGAATTTTCTTCCTTTAAAAAAAAATCTTCTGTTTTAGGAGACAGTGTTATATGGCATTTATGGATGACACACAAAATTGATAAACCAAAGGAATTATACTATCATACATTAAAGCCATCATCTCTTAAATGATTTCAAAATCCTTCGTAAATGTTCAAGACAGTCCATCCATCAGGTAACATTAGTCAAAACACTGTACCTCATTCAAGTATCATAAACTCAATCATATTGAATTGCTCTGTGTTATCTATTTGACTAAGAAGGATGTGGCTAATTGAACATGCAGAGAAACACATTTTCATGATGTGTACAACTGCATTTTAGTTCTGAGGCTTCAGAAGGGTGACGTGGCCCATAAGTTCACTGCAAAGAGAACTTACTCAGAAGACTCTGTCATGTGTAGAAGATTCTTTTACCATCTGACACTAACTCACAAATTTAACTAAGACTTTATAGTATTTGTTCTTAAAGTACTTGAACCTGAGTAATGTACCAATTCTTAGGATCAAGTAAGAAAATAACATCAGCTTAAAAATGTGAATTATTCCCTTTGATCTATTTATTCAGGGTGAGGTTCTGAACTGACTAGCATTTCAATCTATTGACTATGGTTATGTAATTTGATTTACAATAGAAAAATACAGGATAAGAAACCCGCAGGGCAAAACACTTTTGTCTAAGGATCACTTTAGCAAATAAATAATTAAATTTTGTGATTCCCAGGAAATAAAAACTTTAAATCATCTAAACCTGTGCTTAGCTATCTAGTTCATTGGAGGAGACACACTATATTTATTGTTAAAATTTGGAGCCTGGCACGCACACACAGGCTTTAGCAAGCTTGTCCTCAAGCATGCCAGTTTTATCATTATTTTAAACCTGTTAAGGTCAGAATGATTTCACTCGAAACACATAATACATTCTTTCAGAGTTGATGGTTTGATGCCCTTCTCTTATAAGTCACAATGGTCCTTGCAGAGCTGTTCCTTAATCTGAAACACTGATGTTACTCTTAAAAATATACTTAGAGACTAATCACCTACTGAAGGAGAATTTTATAATTCAGCTAGATCTGGTCAACTTCCTGGATATGGCCATGGTAGGATGAGTTCAGCTTGTACTTCATAAGCCATGCACCCCATTATCCTGAGGTTACGATGGCACCCACTAAACATCAGAGTGCCGTGTGATGCTATTAAAATGAGCATTGCCTTGCACTTACACTAAATGCCAACTGTTAGCAAGAACCTTCCAGCATCACAGCTTTGTACATGATGCAACTGGAGTCCAAATGGCTCCCGACTTCCTGTTAAGCACAGAAGGGGACCATCACCCTCTGTGTTACTATTATTGCTTGCTCCTTTGTTTGCAGACCCTTGTGTTACCCCCAGTGCTATTCCATGGTCTGGCTGATGCCAGTCTTCAATGTGCCATCTGGCCTTCTCTGGCTGTGCCTTCTACGTCTTCTGTGTTGTTTTTGTCTTTTTCTTTCTTCAATTCTCCTCCCTAGTCCAGCCATAGTCTCTTAGTTTCCTAAACAGCCTTTCTGACCTGGAGATATGGTCAGTCTGTCGATACAACTTTCTTTCTGGCCCTAGGCTATTAGGCTGTGGCATCAGTTTCTGGCTTATTGCTTTCTGTATAGAAGCAACTGCTTTGTTAACTTCAGTTAGTTTTATTTCCTTTTCCCCTCCCTTTGGATTTCAAAGTATGCCTATTGTCCATAGTAATTGAATGTCTTCAGTCACTCCCATGAAAAACTAGGAGATTCTGTCACCCTCAGTATAGCAGACAAATGGTCTGTACCAAGTTATTCATTATAAAAAGATTATTTGAAAATTAAAATCATAATAAACTTCCTTTGAAATGGCGTGGTATGTTAACAAGGCAATTTAGATATGAATAAAATATAGTATAAAGGTCAACGAATTACAGTAAACACGTATTTCCTTGTTTTTGGATAGCTTTCAACAATACACACATAAAAATATATGTCTGTAGCATTTTATGCATGACAATTAACATTTTAAATTTATTATACCATAGCAAAAAACAGTACATTGAGTAAAGAATATAGCAAATGATGAGAGCAACACAGAGAAAAGTTGGAGGAGATGTGAAAAAAAAAGAAACAGAAAAGAATAAAAGAGAGACCAGGGGGTTAGCTCTGGAGCATAAGTGCCTGCTTGGCCAGCGTGGGGTCCTGAGCTTGATCCCTGGTACCAAAAGAAAAAAGAAAAAAAAAAAAGAATAAATAAGAGAAATTAAATAATGAGAAAAGACTGAAAAATATACAAGCTAAAAGTATATAAATTAAGAAACATAGAATGAGAATGTTAGGCAGGTAGATAGACAGTAGGAGACCTGAGGGATGGGGGAGCATGTGTTGCCAGTTAAGTAAAGAAAGACTTCTTTCTTCAGTATAATGAATACATCTATAGTAAGTTGCTAAGGTGCACAGGACACAGTGAAATTTTAAGGCTTACACCATGTACATTCCTTCTAACACCTGACCATCTGGCTGCATTACTCCAAAAAATATATATATAGCATTCCTGGCTGCCATAACCTACAGCTCAATTGTAATAGGTAAAAAGTATTCTTTAAAGACTCTCCTGCCTTGGACTGGGCCCTGTTTTAAATTAAGAATTTATCTTTCTCAAAAAAATGTTTTGCAAGTTCCTTACATGATTAAAGCCCCTGAAAAACACTAACTACCCAAAAAAGATAAGGAAGGTATTTTGCAATTTCAAAGTAACTTCTCAGTATAAGTGTTGACAAGCATCACAACTATTGTAGTTCTCTGAACACTTTTGCTCATATAAAAATGCATCTAAACTTGCACTTAGCACAGATGCCCTCCTGGCACTCCTTCCTCCTCCCTTTAAGGTACAGCTCTCTCTGTATCTACTTTACAATAAATTCTGTCTATACTTATGCACAGCCTATACCTATACCTCTTTCATCAAGGACCCAAAGAACTGAGGACCAAACAAATGAGGGACCCAGCCTCTCAATGACTAAAGGACAGATTAAACAAAACAAAAACACAGAGAGTAAAGAAGAGGGTGACAGGAGAGAGAAATCATGAATAAAAAGAAAAAAATTATTTTTCCCTTTGTCTCATCTTGTTTTTCTTCCCAGTACACGTCATGGCATAGCATGACTAATTTCATGATGGTCACCTCCATAAATCAATTTATGTTAACAACTGGCATTTCTTGTAGGAAAGAAGTAGCAGGTTTACTCCAGGACAAGGAATAATATACTAACACAGGAAACAAACTTAGATGGCCTAGTGACATCTTGAACTTCAAATGATTTTTATCTGGGATTAAAGTTATTCAGCAACAATTCAACCGTGACTTTAGTCTTCAAAGCCACATTGTGCTCCTGCCATCATTCAAGTTTCCTTTTTACTAAAATCTTTAATATGGGCCT